TTTAGATTTCACCCTTTCGGGTTCCTTCTGTTGGATCTGCTTTAACTTATCCTCAACAGTGATAAGTCTATCAAAAACTTTTAGTAATAACTGGAGAAGAGTATTATTCTGCTTTATTATAGCAAGTAAAGCAGATGGAGTGTTTTGTCTAGCGTCAGAGGGATTAACAAATCCTAACGCTGGAGGTTCAAGAGAATCAGTGGCTATTAAACCTGACTTATAATCAGTGGAGGTCGATGAAAGCTTACAATCGTTCATATACAGAACAATAGTTGGGAATAAGAAGAAATTAATAGATAAAAACTAGCATCCTGAGTTCACATTTCAGGAAATTGATAAGTTGTCTCACTTGACTTGTCTAAGCCTTGAACTATCATCCTTATACATCTTAATCATATGATTCATCAAATAGATCTAAGAATTTTAGAAAAACTTTAACAAATCTGAGGTTCAAATGTAAAATTAGATTTATAAAATCTTAAATTAAGTTCCTGAACACACTTAGCATATCATTTTCATCCGTATAATTCCTCAGTGCTCCTACTGTTCTCGGAGATTTCGTCGAGGCACTCGGGACTACTAACTGATCATGCTAAGCAGCTGCCTCTTAACTTAAAATAATATAAAAATAAGGTTACAAGATAAACACAGATCTGTAAAAATAACTCTGAAAACTAAAATCATAAATCAAAACGTATAAAAGATAGCTAAATAAGATGAGAGAGCTCGGCAAATCAACTCATCAAAATCCTTAATCGGATCTCTCAGAATACTAAGAAAGTTTTACCCCAACATAGCTCTGATACCAAAAAGAGGCGGAAACGGGAAGATCGTCGGCTTGGGGGTCACAAAGAACTTATAGCCGGAAAATAAAAACTTAACTTGACAAAATAAAACTTGAAGTAATTTTATTAATAATAGGAAGACTCACAAACTAGAGCTTGAAGAGAGAAGTAGACACTTGGCTTCAGGCCAGACTCTACTTGATGTTTGAAACATAAGGTAAAAGGTAGAAACCAATTTGCCTCATTTTTCATGATAAGAGTAAAATTGTAATTTCATAAATTATCATGATCTAGAAGTCAAATAAAATTGGATGATTCTTAAGTTTCAGGCTTAAGTTAGGAAGATAGCCCATAATTTGTGATAATATGATCTTTTGATGAGAATATATTCCACTTAAATTTAAAATTTTGATAATTGCAAATTCACCCATGAAAATTATTAAGAACTTGGTATTGAACTAGGCTTGACATTTGAACTTCTTTAATGAGATTCAAAAAAGATAATATGATCGACAATTAACACCTTTAAATACTACAGACCCAACTTTAATGGTGGGTACAAGATCTTTAATGACTAAAGTTTTCCTTAGGCGCATTCACTTATATAACTCCTAAGTAAAATATCAACTGATTAATTGGGTATCTCATTCTCGGGATAATTGAAATATCAAATTTACTGAGCATAAGGTGTATTAATTCACTAAAATTAAATCTAAATTTGAGGTGATCAATTGAACAATATATAGGTCCAAATGAACTCGAAACATATCAAAAGGATTTAAAAGTTGTTAGAGATTGTTCTTGGAATACATTTATAACCTTTTGGATATTTTATTTTGAAGGACAATTATTGAAGGACAATTAGACTTATTATACTTTGTTCCAGAAAATCATCCATTAAAACCTCTAAGGACTCACCAAGTTATGACTTAGGGTTTGGTAGCTACACCTTCATCTACTCTTGCTACTTATTTCAATTCCCTGCAAAATTATATATATATGTTGCAAGTTCTAATGTTTCAGCGGGAGCAACGATAAAATGACAGGTAGATTTTTACAGTTTTGTTTAATTACTGTCATTTTATTTACTACAATTTATTCCTGCTTTAAAACATTATACATGTTTGGTAGTAAACTTTACTTCAGCGGCAAAACACAAAAAAAATATTAATCAACAATTTTCAAAATTAAATTAAACTCTTTCAAAGGTAATCAGAAATCCTTTGGAAAACAGCAATTTGATAACACGTCATTTCGAATTTATGGGAGTCCCTTGGATGAGGTAACCCACGGTTGCTAACGAGATCTCCCCGATTTAAATGGGTTTAACAACTCGTTTAAGCTAAGTAAATTCAAAAGAAAATAGAGATACTGGAACGAGGGGAACGTGTGATCCTAACTGGTGTTGCTATAATCAATTTTAACCCCCCATGATTGAACTTAAACTTGTCATTTAAACTTTTAAAGCTTTAGATTTTATGATTGCTACTTCGCTGAGGAGCTCGGAGCTAACTTTATGGGCAGCATTCTACAACAGTACGAGGATCTACAATAGCATATCTTTCCTTAGAATTAAACAAGTCATACGATTTCGAGCTTATTTGTCTAGTGCAACATAAATCTTCAACTCATCTTTAGGCATTCGCACAATTGTGTTGTGTAATATAAGCCCTAACTCATTTTAAGATTTCGAGATTGTCGTTCGTCACGACCTAAATCCTCACATCTTCCAAGTTATTTGTGCGACTGTCTCGCATAAATGTAAGCCCTAACTAATAAAATTGACAGGGTGAAACATTAAATAATTTTCTCCTGAAATTGAAACCAAACCTTAGGATAGTTTGGGAAGTCATTGAGGTTTTCCTCAGGATCTGTGACAACCCCTAGTTCTTCTTTCTTTGAATTTCATAATAAATGTTTCAAATTTGAGCATCTTCCATTTGACATTCCTTAGGCCAATCTTAGCAAAAACCCCATCCTTTTGAATTCTTGGAGACAATATCTTTTAATCTAAATCGAGAGTTTTCTTTAATGACTTCAGTTATTTAATAAGCAATTGACTATAGGGGTTTACCTCTATAGGGAGCTTTAAGAACCCAGATAATATAAACCATGTCTAATTGTTTGTATTAGATAGGAAACTTGTCGGCTTATATAAAAGGTTTGACCTTTGGTTTATTTAATCGAGCAACACCAGCAAGTAGTGTATTTATCCCTCGAGACAACTATATGACTTGCGGTACTGTTCTATTTTATTTAAATTATTGTTTATATGAGATCGGTTTGATCTTTTGTATTATCAAAATTTAAATATTACCTTTTTCAAAATTAAAAATACCAGTTTTTCTAAAAAACCAAATTTATATATATTATTAAATTAAATTAAAACCATAACTAAATCAAAAATATATAGTGGGCGATAAGCATTTATGGGAGATGCCTCGAAGAGTTTTTTATTGCGGATCAGTTGCACAACTAGGTCTATTGGGGAGACCGAGGCAGTTTGATCACAAGGATCAACATGATGCGTTCAAGAATACTTATTCATCCATCAAGAATGAAAAACGCATAGTTCTCCTACCTTTCGCAGAGTTCAGAGTTATAGGTGTTTTTACCATGACAGAGGCGTCAATGGGATCCATTTTGGTGATGTTAGAGGATACTACGAAGAGAATTTCAGAATATCCTAAAAGAGAACTTATTGTCAAGGTTGGTACCATTAGAGAAGGTTCAACATGTCTTTACGTCAAAGAGGAATGAGTTAATCTTGAGCTACTTTCGGAGAACTGTGAGGAATAAGCATGACACGAAGTTCTAGTTTAGTTTAGCAATGTACCTATAGATGTTTGGACAGATAGAGATGATAAATCACAATTCAAGAAACCTTCTAGATATTTTGTAGAATAGTGCATCTGACAGTAGGTTCCAAGTGCTTCTGAAGTTGCAGTCAAAGACCCTCAAATCCTGGGAGGTTACGACAACTCTATAACCTTCAACATGGCCAACCATAAGTCATATCATGGGTCACAATTTTGGAAAGATGAGGTCGAAGCTCCACTAATCCCGGTAGACTGATGTAGAAGCTGGGGGGGACTCTGGACAGATTTGATTCAGGTTCAAAGAGGATCAGTCAGCCTATTTTGGGTCGTAGTAGGTTTATTTAAGTGTTTCTTCGATGTTTTGGGTAGATATTTTTCTGTGGTTTGCTTTGGTACAATCATCGGCGTGTCATTTTCCCATTCTATGATTGTATACTAGTTAAGTGGTATTCCGGCTGTAACTTGGGCTCCAAGGGATGTGTATCACCTTCTACCATTTCCCTACTCTCTCATACATCAATTCCCTTCATCCTCGCCGCTTTCCCCTTACTCCCTTTCTCGCTGCTACCGCCACCCAGAACAACCCCTTCTACGGTCGTTTCCAGCTTAATAGCCACCACCCCGGAGGTCCAAACCCTAACTGGCACCACCTACACCCTAACCATTTCCCTACTCTCTCATACGTCAATTCCCTTCATCCTCGCCGCTTTCCCCTTACTCCCTTTCTCGCTGCTACCGCCACCCAGAACAACCCCTTCTACGGTCGTTTCCAGCTTAATAGCCACCACCCCGGAGGTCCAAACCCTAACTGGCACCACCTACACCCTAAATCCAACTCTAATTCTAGTGGCATTGTCATTTTGTTACAATTTCAGATTTCTATGCTGCTGCTTGTAATTTTTGACATTGAATTAAGTAATAACATTGTTTTCCCTTGGGTGTTTGTTATATTCCGGTATCAGAGAAAGAGAGGGCCAGGGAGCCAAAGGAGGGAGGAAGAACCAGAATAGAGGAAGACAAACCTACAGCATTCCTTATTTATAAAGAAAATATCCATCATCATAAGAAATTATAATAACAAAAGCCTTCAAAAGAGCAACCAAAACACATCATAATCAGTTTGCACAAGATTCAAGTCATCTACAAAAAATTCTGCTAAATAAAGTTAACTCTTAATTATATATTTATTATGAGATAAATCTAAATACAACAGGTGCTGATATGTCCAAAAAGACAGATTATGTCGAGTTGGATAATTATGCTGTGCATCAATTTTCTTAAAAAAAGATCATTAAATTACATGACTAGCAAAAACCAATGACCAAAAGATACTTACTGCAGATTTTGCTAAAACAAGTTAACAATCAAAGAATGAGATCACTAAAGCATAAACCACCTGCAAGGACTTCACAATGCCATCAATTATCTCCGGTTCAATAAGAGGCTCATCTCCTTGTATATTGACAACAATATCATAATCTTTCCCAAGTTTTTCTAGCGCTTCATTGCAGCGTTCTGTTCCTACATTTTCAGCGAAGTTTATTACTATTTAATTAGCTTTAAGCATTACATAGAATCAATACACAAGGCCATAAATATAGTACCATTCTTGCAAGCTTCAGAAGTCATTACCACATCAGCTCCAAAAACGCGACAGCATTTTGCAATTGTTTCATCATCAGTCGCAACAACTACAAAGAGAAAATAGGTAAATAAAAATAAGTGAAAAGGCACATAGAAGGGCCAAAAATAGTTTGCACTAATTAGCACTTGAATGAAGCAATCGTCTGATAAATTCCTCATCTTAAAAAATGCATGCTAAATTAACATCAAAGATCTGAAGGAGAAAAAAAAAACGTTATCTAGGGTCAAAATCATACAATATAAAATTTCAACGTTCAATACGTCAACCATAATAGGACCATAAACATTAATATTCTACAGAAGTAGCTCGCATCCTAGCTGATGTTTTAATCCTCGTTATAAAGCATCTGTTTAAGAAAATAACATCAACATAGCAACAATATAACTAAAAAGAATCGTGCACAGCATTCGTAGACAATAGAATATCAGGTAGATCAAAATTATGGTGTAATCTAACATATGAAAAATCATGGTGAATAGCATGTCTATAATATCCGCAAAGCGCCAAGTCTCAATACAATGCACATGAATATAATTTTGTTTACATGTGCAAAATGTAAAATGAAGCAATCTTTTTCAAGCTACAATGTTCATGAGTTTCATATCATATATGCATGTATCATATGCATTAAATAGCTATTTAATTAATTGAATTTAAACCACATAGTTTAATTATTTTTCAACACATACAATAAGTTCAATAAAAATAAGTTCCAACTATTCGAAAACCAAAAAAAATATAAATAACAAAAAATATAAGAATACCTAAAAATCAAAAATATACTTGTGAGATTGAATGACCACATAAAGACCGAGAGGCAGAGACAATGAAAAGCAAAAGGGAGTGTGAAGATGAGGCATCAAGAAGCATTCTTTGCAAAGAATCCTGTGAGTGAAAAGCTACAAGCGTTAGCAATAAGAACGGGTAAAAAACATATAAGAACTAACAGGAAATTATGCATGAAAAGAAGAAACACTAAACCATGAGCAAAGGCTCAATCAATACAATAAATAATCAGAAAAAGCAAAAGGCCATGCCTAATTATTGTGGCAGATGTTGAATCGTATCATGAAATCTGAATCAGGATTTCAAGCCAAGCATACAATGCTATGACAAGATGTGGCAAAGTGATGCAAAACTATGAGCTTATGCTTCACAGGTAAGCGACGTGTGGAACCAAAGCATCACTTTATTTCGTTGTGCGGAATCGAGCGTGTGGAAGCTAGTCATAGCACGGCTTCATAAATTCAGGCAAATTAATCCTATGCTAGGAATAATAATTCCATTAACCAAAATTGCATAAATATTAAAGTTTGATATTATGTTTTATAAGTCATTAATATCAACATAAAAGTTAAATGTGACGTTCAAATAGTTACTGAAGATTAAGAATCTAACGTGACAATTGAGGTGAATAATTATATTTCTAAATTTCAAAAATATTTTTTATTTCAAAATATATGTATACAAGGTATGCATGAAAACTATGCATAAGATGCATGATATTTATAATGGACATGATTTGCAAGATAGGAATGATATGAAAGATATGCATAATATAAGAGATATGCATAATATAAGAGATATGCATGATCTGAGAAATATACATGATATGAGAGATAATTATGACGAGTAGTTGCACAACAGAGTATGAAGTTATCTCTGAAGAATGTATGTTATGAAGAATAAAATTATTCATATATGAATGTTTGTATGTGCATGTTAAGAGGAGGAGTTCAACCTCTAATGTTACAGGTAAGGAACGTCAGTGTACTTGCATGCATAGTTTTTCTACCACCACAGACAATTATGATGCTTAGATCACTAACTGCTGTACCGACGGGAGAAAATCGACAAGGGGCGAGGAGACAAAGCTTACATCCCCGGATAATCACGATGTTTAGATCGTTAACCGCTGTGTGGACGAAATAATATCGGTCAGGAGCGGGTAAGGATCATTCCACTCCAGACAATTGTGATATTTAGATTGCTAATTACTATGTTGATGAGATAATATCGGTTAGAGGTATGTTAGGTTATGTTGAATATAATCCTCACACAGACAAATGTGTAAAGAGTATAAAGTAAAAATAAAGTAAAAGTAAATACATATAAAAGATTTGAATAATTTCATTGATTAAAGATTATTGATACATTTATTAACATATTATAAAACTTTTTATATAAATATGAAAGATTAGCGTTGTAAAAGATTTTTTATAGAGATATAAATGACCGGCATGCATATTGATTTCTTTTCCATGAATTATTTTAGTTAAAGAGTTTTTTTTAGGTATTAAGCTTTTGAACAAGAATAAAAAATGAGCAAATATGAATATGAGGCAAGAACAACAACCGAAAATGTGTAAATTTTTATTGGTTAATTTGATTGTTTTCTTTAGTCTCTTACATGATTTTTTTGAATATTAAACTATTAGTGTTTAGAAATAAAATAGCGGAGAATTGATTTACACGTTCCGATCATTCATTCTCGCCTTGGTTAATTCTAAGCCCCGAGTCGAGTCACGACAAAAGTGGTATCAGAGCAAGACATTTATATTAAATAACATAAATCTCAATGAAATAGCCAATATAGTGATTGGATTAAGTTATAAATAATAGAAATTAAAAATTTTAATTGATTATACTGTTGTTATTTCAGAATTCTGAATGATCATGAGAAAGAGGTCGGATATGATAATGTAGAATCTGTTGTACTTCTGAAAATGACAATCAATGAATTTTCTAATATGGCGTGTGACTCAGCTGGTTAAGAATTCCCAATCTCAAGCGAGTGGCAATGGAAGAGCCCTAATGAATAAATACTTGAAACTCTTTCAGGTTATGAGATTGACTTTATTTTCTGGAGAAGGAGAGCCTGTGAAAGATGCAGGAGAAGTTTGGATGTAGAACCGATCACTTGGTGCAGTAGGACGAGTTTATGAAAACTTTTAGAGATTGGTTTGTACCACAATCAGCCTGGAGACAGGTGGGAAATAAATTTTCTTAGGTTGGTGCAAGGAGAACGATCAGTTATGCAGTACGAGATGGCATTCATTAATTTATCGAGGTATGCACCACATCTCGATACAAATACAGAAGAGAAATATCACGTTTTTCTTTTTGGACTAAATAATTCAATCGAACAACTACTAGTGTCACTTTGGATTAAAGACTCTCAATGCTAATAGAGAAGGTTAGGCAGAAGGAGATTGATTTTCAGCAGACTAAAAAGCGTAGATATTTGTACAAGAGGAAGAGTTTGAATGAAGTGATACTAATAGTTTATTTAAGAGTCTAATGGGAAGAAGATAAGTCCTACACTAATGGAGTTATTAGTCAAACGGGCAGCAGCACTATAGAGCCTTGTGTTAAATGTGGAAAGTAGCATCGTGTTGAATGCTTATTTAAGATGAAGGATTGTTACATATACAGGCAGGCTGGACATCAGATGAGAATTGTTCTAATTCTACTCAGAGATTCATGCCAGATGCTAACCCATGAAGAAATCTAGCTTTGAAAAATTTTCAGGAAGGATCTACTTTTAGAAGTGGTTAGTAGAGGATAACACAAGGTGGCGCTGTGATTGCTGGTGAGCTACCGAAGCCGAACATTCGCCCAATAATTTATTCCTTAACTCATAAGGAGCTAGAAGCACATGTTATCACTGATATTGCTGCATAAATTTTGATGGATGAATTATCTTTTGGGTGTTATATTCGATCTATTAAATGTATAGTTTATCACATATGCTTTAGTTACCACTTAGCAAGAAACTGACATTTGTAATCCATTTATGTTTCATCTTCATCAAATATATTAATATAATTGATGTGGAGTTTGAGAGTTTAGAGGATAACGAGGGGAGATTGTAATAATTAATTTTGAGAAACAAACAAAAACATTTTTGGACAAATTTAAAATGTACACCGAATTTCGCTCTCAAATTTCAACTAAATCAATTTTATAAAATTCTACGAGTCAAAACGATCAATTCAATATATAATACTATTATAAATTATGAATATATTGTGAGATATAAAATTGGAAGTTAAAAGTTTAATTAATTTAGTTAAACCTAATTATTCATTAATTCTCCCTCATCCTTATTGTTCCCAACCAACTCACTAGAGATATTTATCTCTATATGGCATGAAATCAGGGGATCCTTACACCAGAACCTTCGATTACTCTCCTACATCTCGATTATGTTGCTTGAAGCCTCTCTCTATCTCCCTCTTCCCACAATTTCTGCAACTTGGCAGAAGGAACCTATGACACTTGCTTCAGTTCGAGGGTGAGCAGCATCAGGGAAGCCACAGCTGGCGGTAGGGGCTCCCGAAAAATTTTTGGTAAATGTGAAACCCACTTTAATGCTATTTGAGATGTTTTTCCTTCCTCACACTTCCATTGTGAAATTTTATATGAATCGTGCACCTTTTTCGTTTGTGATCGTCGTAGCAAAGATGAGGGTGCGTCAACTGTGACAAAATTGGTTTGTAAACTTCCGTTAGGCGAGATATCAACGAAGATAGAAAAAGACTAAAGCGATAAGAAGAAGAGAGAAAAAGATTTGACAGTTTCAGAGAGGGCAGGTTGCTATGAAAGCCGTTTAAGATACATTTAGACTAATTAGTCATGTTTTGAGTTAAATCAACATATTAGGAAATTCCAAGATATTTATGAATTTCAGGTTGTTTACTTGAGATTTGCAAGCTAAAGTCAAGAGTGTGGAAGCTAGTCGAAAAACGACTCCGTAAATTCAGATAAATTAATCCTATGTTAAAAAAGATAATTTGATTAACAAAAATTTCTTGAATCTTAAAGTTTGATAATTTATTTTATAAGTTAATAACATAAAAGTAAACGTTATTACAATGTCTTGTTACCGAAGATTAAGAATTTGACATGGCTACTAAGATGAGTAACTATGTTTCTAAAGTTCAGTAATCTTCTTTATTTCAAAATGTACGTCGATTACATGTAATGCTTCAATTAATTTAAATGTATATTATAATACATTCTTTAGTGTTAAAAAAATATACA